AATTAACTTTAACACCAAAATGAACTATCGACATTACAAAGGGCAGATTAATCATTAATCAGTTAGATTTGTCAATTAATTAATTACTTAATCAGCTGCAATTACTAATCAATTAAAATTCAATGATAAGATGCGATTAATTAATCAATTTTAGTGACTCTTTTCCCTCGCATTGCTTCCCATTGTATTCGTTAGTGAATCAAATGCAAACCACCAAACAAATAAATATGTCACCAACTAATCTAACTATATGACTGTATCTTTTATGTAAACTTGCTCGTATTATTTATATTCATAGATTGCTTATTATTTGCTCATTCATTGTTTCAATCCATCAAACAAATATAATACCTACAGCAAAACCGAGTTAGACCAATGGCACATCAACGCTTCTTATGATGCCACTTACTGACCGAGTCTTCTTAAGCGGATTTATGAGACACATCCATCCTTCCACTACCCTTCTATGCTACTACCAAAATTCCCTTCCTACCGTTCAATTCCCTCGCAATATGTTAATTAATCAAGACTGTGTTCAGATCCGTATTTCAGCATACACATCGATCTGCCTACCTCTATTCAAAACACATTTGCAGTTCAGTTCTTATAGTCATTAGATAACAATGCTGCATAAAATGATTGACATTCTTCACACTGTTATCGCACTCAAACAACAAACATCTGCTATTATATCAATATATTCATTACGAAATATGAATAAAACACATTGTCTGTGAACGTTATTGGTAATGTGACAGACCGAAACGTTTTGGAAATTTACACTTAAATATGAAATATTTTGAATATTAACGAGCCTCATTCAACCTTTCTAGCACACTGACTCTTTGTTCTGTTCAAAAAGTGCATCTATTAAATATTCATAACAGTTAAGAATAAACAAATGTTCAACTGAATTTTTAATGAGGTTGCTGCCAGTTCCTGGTCTTTCCGCTTGATTATAACAAATATGAGAGAGAGGAAGACAGTAATTCCATCAGAAATTAACAAACGAAAATAATGGAAAAGCATTATCAACTGAAAGTCTAAAATCAATTGAATAAATCTACATAAAACATTACTGAAACATCACTGTTAGAAAGGGATATAAAAAATTACCGAAAGATCGTTGAGACAAGAGTCTGGAAAAGAAACAGAACAACGAAACTATGAACTCGCTCACCTTCCATCCAACGGGTTTATGCTCCAACTCGATAGCTTCATCACTGATCAACGTCAACACATTCTCCAACGCTTCTAATCCGTCGTCATCCAAATCGTTACACGATACTTTCCACAACAAAAAAGTATCATCCGATGTCGGCTCATCCACCAACCCGCTCTCGAACACTTCCGACCGTCTAATTTCATCCTTATATTGATTCGTATAAATCCGCAACAATGAACTGAAATTACTTTCATTCATCCACTGCGCAAGAATCATTAAGATCATTAATCCCTTCAAGAGATCAATCAATAACTTGATCAAAAACCCTCACCTATTCACCCCTACATACTCCGATACTTTATCGATGGTTTCCAGCTGCTCCCCGATCGACAGCTCCTGAAGAGGCACATCAAATGCCAGTTCCATCCAAACCGTCTTCTGTTCATCTCCGCACGGATTCACTGATTCTTCAGAAACCCGAATCTCCAACACCGAATCTGTCCCACCGGCTTCTGTCACTCGAATAAATGTCTCACCAATATTTGAGAA